TAAACAACACTTTCATTCAGAGCAGAAATATTGATTATTTCCATTCATTGACATTTAAACATTACTGCTGTTTAACAATGGCATATATTATTATTATTTGGGAACTTAAACAAAATTTTTAAATTTGGTTTTGTACAAACCGGGTGATTTATTATTTTAAATTTTGAACTTGCAGTATGAAAGCACATTGTAATAAGAAGTCCTTTCAAATTGAAGTTAAAAACTCCACATTTCTTTCTCATAGTGGGCTGTTTAGTGTTTACCTGAGATATAGCTGGCAGCTAGATAAAAAATCCAGGAATGCCAGCCAAGGTTCAGGACATTCACTGAATATCACAGCATCACTCAGTCCTGCAGTTTTGACCAAAATATGTTATGCAGATGATAATGGGCTTCAACTCTGTGAAATGGTAATTTTTGAAATGGTTAATCAGTGGAGGTGTTTTAGGTGGAGATTACAGCTCATTTTTCACCTTGTCCAATGCTCAGCTTGCCTGGCCAGCATCCTGCCACATGCCTGCCACACCAGATATATTTTATGTGGTCAAACAGTGGGGATGAGTCAGTTGTTGAGTTTTGACATTGTTTTAAAATCATTTGGAAGCTGATCATCCTATATGGGAGACAAACTGAAATGCCTTTGCAAACATTGCATGTATAACTGAGGGCAGGATCTGACTGGACCAAGCACAGGAGCCTCTGTTAAAATAGCTGGCAGGGCACACCAGCTGGAAATATTTCTGTAAGGGTGAGCCAGTCTGGGTGGCACCACTGAAGGAGGCAAGTTTGGGTGACAGCTTCCAGACAGGGCATGGTGCTTGAACTGAATCCTGCCTGCATGTGTTTGAGGAGAGAACATGGGGGACAGTGGGCTGCATGCATTGGTTTTACACTTTCTAAAGAATTTTGTCCCGTGGTCGGAGAAGCCCCTAATCCTGCAACACTGAGTGACAGGAACCAGGCCTGGTTGAACACTTGGCTGGTATTACACAGAAAGACCACTCCAGAGCTGAACTGCCAGGTCAGCCTTGTCTAAGAGGAGATTTTTAAGACATCTATTTTTCAGTTCTAATCCTTTATGTTATTCCTAAGTTTATTCTTTTGGGCCAATTTCACATAGTCTGCTTTTATGGAAACAGCTTCTTTAAACACTAAAAGAAAACGATGCCCTTCGGTGCTTTTAATTCACTGTCTTTGCAGTAATTCATGCCAAAAAAGGTGGCAGGGGAGCCCTTATAAAGCTCTATTAATTGAAATAAATGAGCCATGCTTTGGAGAACAGTGTACCATAGTGGAAGGTCTGCCTTCTGAATCCAGCTCCCATAGATGTCCCTCGTGGTTTCAGGCATGTCATAAAATCCACTGTCCACCTCATTTTCCCACCTTATTAAGAGGGGCCTGAGGTTGTTCTTTACCAGAAACCTCTGGGTGTTGTGAAGCCCAACTCAGTGCTTCAGAAGTACTTGGAGGACCTGGAATTTTATTTTGAAAACCGTAGAAATGCTAGTCTTTCCCAGGGAATGGTGTTTATGAGCATGCTTTCATTAGTCCCTTAGCATTTTCTTTTTCATTTGAGTCTGGAAAAATGTGTGGAAAATCATTTCATGGGGGCCTCTGAGAGAAATGAAGCTTCTTGCAGAGTGGGAGCTCTGGGGGGTCATGCAGTGGCAGAGTCAGCTCCCCAGCTCCACCAGACAGAAATAGAAAAACCACACTGGCCTGAGGGTGGACTTAAAGCCCCACTGGCCTTAGGCTGGACTCAAACACTTGAATTTTTCCCAGCTCTTTCATTTGTATGTCTCAGAGAAAGGGGAAGGTGAGCAAGGCAGGCAGAGCAGTAAATGTCTGCTCCCTTCCTCCTCTCCTTCTCCCCAAAGATCATTTCCATCCACCTGACTTCTTTCCCAGATATGGTATCATTTGCTTCTGCGACTAATCTCTGGGTGGGAGAGAAAATGATTTTGAAAGTTCAAGAGAAACATAAGCCTGCACATTTATGAGTGTTTTTCTCCTCTTCCCTGCCTCTGAATGACCAGAGTTTTATTATTCCTCTTGACTGCATGCTGAGATAGGTACTTTCCTTTCAAGCAGGGCCTGTTCTGGCAGCAGGCAACAGAGGCTCCAAACCTGGGATACTCTTTTAATGTCTGAGTCTTCCATTAACACCAATACTTTGACCTTCCCCTCACCTTCCACCCCCCTTGGTGTTACTGCTTTTGGATAAAGATGGCCCAGGAAAGGTGAGGTTCCAGGGAAAGTTAGGTATTTTTAAGAGAAACCAAAGAGGGCTCAGAATTGCACTCTCCTCACATGCATCATGATCTCACTTCATGTGTGTTTTTACAGGGCTGCTCAACCCCAGGAGGACCCAGGTGCTGGTGTCACCACTGAACCCTCCTCAGTGATGGGGAGCCAAGCTTCACCTCCAGGCCCTGCGCAGTGAGAGGCCTCCCAGCACCCAGCAGTGGCAAATCAGACACAGTGCCACAAACCATGCAAAGCACACGTTGTCTGAACCAATGGGTCTTCATGGGATCCTTCTGGTTGAGAGATGATATCACAGATTATATCTGTGTCTACTTTAGGTCTGGGCTGTTGCTAAGAGAAAAACAATTCTTGGCAAATTCCTCGAAGTGCTTGCCTCCTACAGTTTGGCTGAAGACAGTTTGTTCAAGAACCATGGGTAGGTGTGAGTTTCTGTCTCTTCGCCTTCTGAGAATTGCTCTCGCCAGTGCAAAACTGAAGATGATAATGCTCCCATTAAAAATGAGGTGAATGCTCAGGCTGACATGAGTGGGTGGAAAGGACTTCAAACAGGATGAATCTGGGGACAAACCTACCCTTGCCAAGACAAACAGCTGCAGAGAGCTGCAGGAAAGAAAAAAGGGCACCGCTGTTCAAAATGATTCAGTCACAAAGGGCTGATTGAGGCTGCATATCCATCAATTCATAACAAAAACCAATGGCTTTCATATGAAGAAAGAAAAAGTACATCATATGTCACACAGGAGGACTGCAGAGCTGATATCATTAGGACAACAGACTGATATTCCATAGGAGAGACAGAGATATGGGATGAACACAGAGCAGAAAGCTCTCACTCTCCTTCCTACATCTGTCTTTCATTTGCTTTGCCTCTATCTGCCCGTTGTTGATGTTTTCTCACATTATCTTGGTCCGTTTGTTCAAGCTGTATTTCATTCCAAGGAGGCAGGGAGCTCCAGGTGTGAATGAGGGCTGTGAGCATGAACTCACTGTCACAGTTATTATTGTTATCATTCCTCTGAAAACCAGCCTGGTGGAGGTTTGGCTCTGTGGAATTTGTTCTGCTGTTTTAACTGTATCCTTGTTGAATGTGGAAAATGGAATGAAAGTGGAATGAAAATGTGGAAAAAAGGGGAATGAAGTGCAGTGCTTTGCATGATGGTTTGCACCCAAAGGTGCAGCCTTTGCTAGTGAAGTGCTGGCATGCTGTAGAACAGGATTTTGAGATTGCAGGGTTGGGACCGGCTGCTCAAGTGAATCAGGTGTTCAGGACTCGCTGATTTTCTTTTTAATGGGAGAAACTGTGTGTTAAAAAAGCCAACTCAGAATTTTCAATGTTTTTTATTTTAAGACCTTAGTGATATTCAATAATTGTATTTCCACCACCCAGCTATTTAGCAATCTGAACAGATACTATTGTTATGGTTACTATGGTTTCCATTACTGGCGGTAGACTTGTGGGTGTCTGGTTATTTTTGTCTTTGGACACCCCCTGTGTACATCCCACTGGGCACAGATATTTTAATGCATTTTTCAGTGGTTCCTTCTGCTCCACTTGAACCCCTGGAGATGTTGTGGAGTCCCTTTGTGTGTGTTGGATGAACACATCTCTGGGATCAGTCTGGAGCAGAGCTGAGCTCCAGCTTTCCCCCAGCCTGACATGATGTGTTCAGCCCCTCCACAATCAGGTGCAGCTCAGCCCTTATTCAGTGGAGATTCAGTGCACAAGCAATGGTGAGTTTTCCCTCTGATCTGCTGCCTCAAATGTCCCTTTGCCAGGACCAGGGATAGCCCATGGCTGGACCACACAGACTCTCCAGATGGGCTGACACTCCAAAGATAGGATGGCAAGCAGCTTTGGCAGGCTGGTTGGTATTTCAATAGATGGACTCTTTTTAGCTTTGTTTTTCAGGAGTTGCCCTTCTATTTTGCAACAGGCCCTTCCTGTGCCATGTTTAGCTCATTCAAACCAGCTCCAGTGTTTATACCTCCCACTGCATTTCCTTACAGTGGATATTTCTAAACCAGCTTGGCTGGTGGAGTCCTCTCCAAATGGTGTGCTAAAGACCAAATGATTTAGCACATAATTAAGAAGTAAACAATGATCAGCAAGAAGTCTGCAGTGTCAGCTACAAGACATGGCTTGAATGCAAGAAAAAGCATTATGCCAAGAAAAATGAGTAAATCTGTGTCTGTATGTTGATGTGGAGAGGCAGCTTCTGCTCCATCCCCAATGGAGACACAGTTCAATGGGCATTTTTTTGTTTGGCCACTGGCAGCAACATCAGTTCAAAGGACACAAATGGGAGAAAAGAGCTTCCTGCAGCCACCAGGAGGGAGCATGGATGCTCCACCTGGGCTTTTGCACACACTCCAGCTGGTTTGTGTGGAAGGAATCATTTCCTGGCCCCTTGTGCCAGACAAGAGATGGTTCTGTGCTTCCCAGCACCAGTGCCTGAGCTCTAATACCAGTGACAGGAATGGTGCTGCTGGTGCAGCTCCAAGGGTTGCAATGCTGCTTTACAGAACCCAGGCACATGAATTTAGTAGTGAGGGAAGGGAATAGTTAGAAAGAAAGAGCTTTGCTCTGCTTTCTCCATGTTTCATCCCATGCTGGTGTTGGGTATAAAAAAAGCAGCATGCCTAAGCCCCACAAACAGAATGTTCCTTTTTTTTCAGTGATTCCCTAGCTTTTAGTGCAAAGGAAAGAATCAAGGCACACAAGATTATTGTGCTATGGATTTATAATAACATTTTATTAATATATTATGCTACAAAAATATTTTGATAAAATAATATTAGAAAGTATCTTTTTATTACACTCTTCAAAACAGTTCACAAAAGCAGGAGGCGGAACAGGAAAAAATATCTGAAATATATTTGAACTGAAAACTGACAAATATGCAGTTTGAATTTCGGTGTGAGTATGATCTGCTGGATGGTTAATCAGTCCTAAAGTATTGCCTACTTATTGCAAAGACCTCTCTGCCTTTAGCTAGATTAAGGTGCCTCCTGAAATGTTAGTCATAGAAAAGGCTGAATTTGGATTGGGACAGAACACAGACAACATACACACATAAATGTACACACGCACCACACACACCACGCACACACACACACACCCTGTGATCTCAAACTTCAGCAATTTATCTTTCTGCTTCAGTTAAACTGAAATCTGCTTAAATTGAAGCTGGGTTTTAGCACACTCCATGGAACATTGATCACTTCAGAGATATGACAAGACCATACAATTTTTGGATATAATACAGAAATACGGTACTAAGCAAAGTTTGGCATGGTAACACTTATGCTGAGATAATAACCTTGGCACTTTGGTTTCTCTAACATAAATATATGATGGGAAATTCCTCCCTAACAGTGGTATATGGTAATGACTGAGTCATATCACTTGACTAATCAATGCACTAAACACAGATTAAGTTCTCCCTCTTTCCATTCTCTCTTTCTCCACAATTGTATACTGAAGAACTTAGATAAATATACAACTCTGTACCTTGGGTGTTCCTAAATTACAGTGGAGCTCAGAGGAATAGGAAGGGAAGTTCAACAAAGCAGATTTTTGACACCTGTATAAAGCATAGTTATCATAAATCATGTTCATCATTTATTGCCAGAAGACTTAATGCATTATTCAACAGCTCTAGGGATTGAAGAGAAACTACTTCAGTCATAAAATATAAAATACCTTCTGTCCCAGCTTACTGACTGGTTCTCCAAGTGGCAGTGCATGTTAATATAGTGTCTGTAGTTAGGCAAGAAAAGCATTAAAACACTGAGAGGGGAGAGATTAGATTTGTTGCTGATGATATGAGATTATTTATTCCACCAGGGCAAGATCTTGGCAGGTACTTAGCATTTGTTGATAATGCTACAGTCACATTTAATGTGAATTGTGTTGGTGTCCCTTGCAACAGTGTTGAGAAGATGAATCATGAGACCATTGAGCTTCGGACTCACCCAAAGTCGTGTCCTGGACTGCCAGACATGGGGTGACTCTTGATGCTGATTCTCAGAGATAAGCAGGATCACCACTGTTTGCTATTTTATGTGGTGGGCATGAATGTTTTTGCTAAATCTCCTGCTCTTGTAAGCTTGTGATAACATGGGAATCTGAGCTTTCCTTTGGAAGAAAGAGTTGAGTCAGTTTTTAGTTTTCTGAGAAACCCACAGAGGAAACTGAAGCCCTCTGAAGTTGGTAGTCAGTGCTGCTTCCAGAGCACGTATCAAATCTGGTCCAGGTTTTAAAGTCGTGGTTTAGAAAACCATTAAAATTAAGAAATCATGATCCATTGTGACAGAGTGCATAAGTCTGTGCTAACCACTACTACTGTGTTTTAATTAATGCTGGGCTGCCACAGCTGATTAGTAAACAACTCATTTTATCAACCACAGGGAGGGTTCATTATCCAGCATTGCTCTGCACACTGTATTGAAGACAGTGACCCTAGGTTGTACTTCAGGGTAAGACAACAGAATAAAAGGAGTGTTTGGTCAGAGACCTGTGCTGAAGCCATTCATGTGGGGTTCCTGAGCTAAGATCTACAGAAACCCATTTAATCTTTAAGTCATGTCTCCTCCCTGAGCCACAGAGAGCTCAGATACTGAGGGAGCTGCTTCTAGGTGGCAAAAACCAGGTGTGTAGAGCCCAAATCCAGCAGACACCTTGTTTTGACACCTGGGCTGCACAAATGTGGGGCACCAGCACAGGGGTTCTAGTAAAATTCAATAATTTCCCAGAATTACAGAGAAAATGCCAGGAAATGCGAAGATGTTAAAATATACTTTGATATCCAAGGCATTTAAATCCTGTGATAGCCAAACATACCACAGTATCTGAGCTAATGAAAATTGAATATTACTGTCTGGAAAACCTCACTGGTGATAAAAGAGTGACTATTCTGTGCAGCACAGTGACAGCTGGGAGTGTGGAGAGATTTGTGTGCTTCTAATATTAAAAAAAATAAAAAGCTCCAGAGGTTTATGGAGAAAGCCACAGATTGGTAAACTTCAGAATTATAATTTCTAGTCTTGATCCTGTTGATTTTCCTTACAGTCTTGGACAAGTTATTTTGTTTTCTGCTCTTTTTTCTCTCCCTTATCTTTACATGGTCCTGTCTATTTATACTGTAGGTCTTCCAACACCTGGAATTATTCCTGGGACAGCACCACAGAATAATTTTTGGATATGATCCGGTTACAACAAATAAAATTAAACGGGTTTTGGTTTGTTGGCTATTCACTTTTACTACGTAACTTATCATCACCCTTTAGATTTACCTACCTTATTTCCAGTTACAGTCTTGTAAATAAGACATTATAATTTAGTTTTCATCTCTGCCTTGAACACATCAGGAGAACCAATAATCTTTTTAAAATGCATTACTGTTCAATTTGAAGGTCTCTTAAACCATAATATTCAAATGAAGGCATTTCTAGAGTAATAGCTCAAATAAAACCAAAATGAAAGTTCTCAAAATATGTTTTCAATATCCATCTCTGTGCAATAAATATTATGCAAGGTGAATGGCTCCTGTCCAAAACTAACATCTCTAATCTTCTGCTAGCCAAAATACACAATATGAAAGTATGCATGGGGTCTGTTTGAATCTCACATGTGGGGCAAAGCTCAAAGTTTTCCATTCAGCCTTATCAACTGCTGGGGGAAGCTTAGAGCCCTCTGTGCTATTACCCACTTAGACTGCCCAGAAACCTGCACAACCTGCTGTCAAAAACAGAGCAAAGGCTGGGGACCATGGTGTCCAGAAAGTTAAAAAGAAATTACCTGTATTGTCCCTGGACTTTGCAAGGCAGTGGGCTGGGATGCAGGATGGAAATGCTCAGTATTTCATCATGAAATCCTGTGATTTTTGTAGTCTAGTTTCTTTCTAACTTACTTTCATGAAATAACTGGTATGACAACAAGCAAACTGTGAATTCTGAACTCTCTCTCACTGCAGAGTCTTGCAGATTGCATGGAATCATCTGCAGCTCCAGAGACCAGGCTGTAGGGCTGCTGGGAAACTTACAGGGTTGTTTTCAGCCAGAATTTTACCAGTGACATTGCTATAATTATCATTATTATCTTTTTTCCAAAGTGAAGAAGCACTGCTTTTCTCAGTGCTTTTAAAGAAAAGCTTGTATTGTATTTTTCTGATTTGGAGACTTCTAAAAAAGATGTTTTCATCACATAGCTTTGATTTTTTGTTTGTAGATGACTTAGGGAAAAGACCCCACAATTTCAACCAAAACTCATTTTACAAACTCTTGTATCCAGAGATTTTTCATCACATTCTGATAGTGAAAAAACATCTACATAAACATAATTATTATGTTTTTAAACATAATAATTTTTAAGATGGCACTGGGTTTTTTTCCACATAGATGCTGTGAATCTCATCCTTCAACAGCAGCTGTTTGGATAGAGAGCACATTTTTCAGTGAGAGTAAGGGGTTGTAACTTTTCCATCTATGTCAGGAACCATAGTTTAGAAATGGAAGAACGTTCTGCATGTCTCCATAACATGGGGGTTTAGTTTGATTCCTGTGGTGTTGAGGAGATTTTGGACAAGACATAATTATTTCAGCACAGAGATATCAGCTCTATCAGCTCATGGTGGCAAGAGAAAGAGGAATTTGTAGATGTTTTTTGCCTCCAGGTTGTCCATGGGCATGAACACAACTGGTACAAAGGAGTTCTACAGAATAACAGGGGACTGCATCTTTATAACCTATAGACAGACCAAGCTCTCTTCTCATTTCTGCTCAAGAAAGTTGTAGGCTTATATTTATATAAAATGAGGGAGAGAAGGAAATAATTCCAAGTAGGATTATTCTGGACTTTAAAAGCAATTTTTTATTAAGAAAAGGGTGTTTTAATATGTGTTAGCTGATGAATTAATTTCAGGGCAAAGGAGGAAAGTGGTAATTTCTGAAGAAGTTAAATAGTTTAGTTAAAGAAAACAGGGGGAATGTAGAGGATTATCCTGAATAATGACATACTGTGTCATGTAAAAATAACTGGTATTTTAGACTGTGGCAGCTAATGAGTTAAGAATGAACTTATTTTTCTAAAGGGCACAGGCCCCAGAGAGCAGAATCTGCTTTGTTCAGTGTAAGATATGCTAATGAGATAAAAGAAGTGAAATAAAGAAGTTCAGCAGAAATGTACTTATTGGACAGTTGCTGTAAGATGTAATAGTTAAAGAAACAAAGAAAGCATTCATTTGGTGTCAGTTCAGACATTTGCAGAGTTGTCAGAAAACAAATATAGAAAATATTAATTTATCTGTTTCACCATCGCTACTGATTAATAGGGATGTTATTAACATATACAACAAGAAAAATAAGTTTACCAGTCGAATAAATACATTTTTCTTTTTCTTTTTTTTTTCTTTATATGAACATGTATATTTTACAAAACCCCATAGCACTATGGGAAATAAAGATCCTTCTACAAAAAGAAGATGTAAGTCAGTGTTACAATAAAGCTTTAGAGTTTCAAAATGTATCTGGGCAAAGAGACAAAATCAGCTAGAAGGCACTACTGAGTCACTGAGAAGGTCCAGCTTGTAACTGTTGTCTTAAACTCCAATTTGTTCATAAATTATCTCTCTATTCCAAGGGATTGCATGTGATATAATGTGGTCAGGAGGGCTGCAGCAGGCTCAGGAGAAAGGAAGCTATGGCCATGCAGAGAGGAACTGTTACTGATGGCCAGGAGAGGCTGGCTGGGGCTGAGCTCGTGGGCTGGGGCTGGGATGGGCGCTCGGGACGCGGCCTCTGATCCAGCTGGTTGGAAATCCAGATGGGAGGCTTGACTGTGATGTAGCCATTGGTTATCCTGATATAGGAAGGCAACGTGGTGGTGCTGGAAGAAAACACAAGAGAAGGAAATTAAACAGTAGAACCTTATCTCTACTCTGCGAACTGTCATCCCAAGTGGTAGCAACCACAATGGCAACTCCTATTATCATTATTATTATTATTATTATCATTATTATCACTATTGTCATTATTATTATTATTATTTTATGCACACATTAGACACCAAAGAGAGTGCGAGAGACTGATAACTGTGATGATGTGGAAACAGCTCTGATCCAGGATGTCCCTCAGCTTCTGGCTGCTGACAAAATACAGCCAGAGGAGGGACTGCTCTTAATGTATCTCACATACTGCACTCCATTTTTAAGCATTCATTACAGGCCAGTATCAGAAATGGTGCTAAATGTATCCTCGTGCTGACCCAGGATGACCTGGTTCTTATGTCCTTTCTTCCTACCAAAGGTCTGAACATTTGCCATGTCTCAGTGACAAGTCTTACTCACCATGGAGCACATCCTGAGTGACCAGGAGGGTCCAGAATACATTCCTTCCCTGTTTCACAAACCTTAAAGAACTTCCAAGGATCCCCCTACACAACTGATAACCTTGAGCATGGGAGTGAGAGCAGGTTCATTTCTTTTCCTGGCTTTAAGCCATTTTGGATCAAATCACAAAGCCAAAACCAGACTCAGTTGCTGTTAGGTTTCCCTGACTGTGGATTTGCCTCAATAGCAGTGTGATTGCTTATTGATTGTAGCTTGAGTCAGTGCTTTGATTTGAATTTGCAGGTTGGAATTCATCATGACTCCCATGACACTGGAGGTCAGAAAGGTCCATTTACGATTGATTTGGAAGTTTAAGCTGTAATCTCCATTTCATAAAATGCCCCCATTGCATCCATTACTGGATGAAGCATAATCCACCAGTTGTCAGGGAGCAGCACAACCAAGCATGTAAACTGCACAGGGTGGATTTTGGACTTAAACCCAAGACATTCTGCTGAGAAGTGAGGAGAAAAATGGCAAGGGCCCTGAAAAAAAAGATGTGACACTAATACCTGTAGATTCTCTAAATCTTGCTTAAAGGGGATTTGGAGGCACTGAAAATGACCTTCATATAATTCTTAATGGGGGAAGAAGTTATGCAGTCCTATAAATATTTAGCTACAGTATCCAGGATCTTGACCTTGGAAGGAAAAGGTTGTGTCTTGCATAATATCAGATGAAAGGAACAACATCTAACTTCAGATTCCTGCACAGAAACAGAATTTAGAAGGACTAAAGGCTTTTGTCTTTTTCTGTCTAAGCAATACTAAGATAGATTTTAGCTGAGATGCTTCAAATGTGCTGAGTCAATCACAAACTGAGAAGATCAGTGCCCACCCTGAAGAGGTCAACATCAAATGCCATGGACAATCCCTGCACATTACACTTCACCCTGAGTTTTGGGAGAAGTCATTTCATTTCTTCCCTCATCCTTTATACTGTCACCACAGCTTCTGGGTGGGACAGTGGTTCTGCAGCTAGAAGTGAACTTAACTAATGTGCAATGAATTAGAGTAAAAAGAGAAGGCAGTCTTCAATTAAAGACAGGAATTGCTTCATGGGAGCAGATAATCCATCTAACCAGTATCAGGATTCTGACACTGAGGAGCAGTGCTTGTTCCAGAGCAACAAACTGCTGTGAACAGAGAACTCTGAAATCAAGGCTTGCTGGAGAAAGTTCTCTGAATTCCCGTGGTGAGTGGTTGGTTTATGTCTTGAAGTGATGATCTAAGACACCCAGCTTTAGAGTTTCTGCTATATTGCATCAGAATTGCTGCAGTCACTTAACACAAAGAGCTGATCTGCCATAAACTAATGCTGCTGTTTCCAATCTGCCTGGCAGGAATGGCTCTGGATTAGGAACTGTGTGGCCAAGCTCCTGTAACATAAGTAACATCACTCCCACAGTGAACACAATGCAGAATTAAAGCAAACTTCTGACAGGAAGAGGTACTGCACGCTCTGGGTAATCCAACACAAATGCAGGCAAGCTTCAATTTCTGATCCAGCTCTCATTTATCCTGCTGAGTGATGATGTGGTGCACAGGTCTGGCAGCACTGACAGTGGGACCACAACTCAGGTTTTTCCCCTTTACCTAGTTTCCCTAAGGTAAGCATGGGTAGGTGTCACCTCATCTTTTGGTACTGATTGCCACGATACAGAACTACAAAATTTTGCCCTAAACTAAATTTTGAACTACAAGGAGGGTCTGATATTAATTAAATTTAAATTTTAATTTTAAAACAATCATCAAAATGTCATTCTGACTTCCAGTTTGGGTGTATCCTGCTCTTGACACATTTTATGGGCTTGATCCTCCAGTAAGATTAAAGTTTCCCTTGGACAAACTTTCTACTCCTCAGGGATGTTCTGTGCACACAGGCTGGCCAGGGAACCTGCAAAGGCCCACTCATCAGCCAGCTCCATCTAAGGGATTCTTAAAGCAGCCTTAAATCAACATTTTTTTGTCTCTGTAGGATGTTTCTGCATTCTAGTCAACTTCCATAAGTGTTTAGATTTTGTTTTGTGTGGGGTTGATGTTTTTTTGTTGTTGATTGGTTGTTATTTGTTGATTTTCTTTTCTCCCTTATTCAAGGACCTGAGAATTGTTGACCACTTCTCCTTAGTTAATGAGGTTATTTTCTGTTTTCAAGACATTACATTTGTATAAAAGCATTCTTGTTAAGATAAATACTGTTAGGTGGGGTTGTTTGTTTTCAAAAACTCCTTGAGTGCTTTACAAGAGAAGAACAGTGTGTTTCAACTAACATCTTCAAAGCATTTGCTAATAGCAAATGAATTACAGCTTATCCATAAAAAACATTTTCTTAATGTACTTTTAGCTGACTGCCAAGGTGGTTTAGAGATATTTAAAGAGACTTATGCCTTTTACCAAATGCTATAAGTCCTTGTAAAACCTCTGGTCCCAGTTTTTAACTAGGCTGTTTCTGTAGTGAATGGGGAGAGAAATCTTTCCAGAAGCTCGTCCACCTCACTCCAGTGCAGGTCTCTAGAGGGAATCTTACTCTTGCTCAAGGTCTTTCACTTCCTGGGCATTACAGAGGGGCCCTGGACACCCAGGCTGGATTATAACCTGATCTTAGAGGTGGCCCTGGAGTCAGGAGATGACTTCTGCAAACTCCCTCTGAGCAGGTTTGCATGTTCATGTAGGATCTCACTGATCCTTGGACATTCCCTAAGGTTGAAGCAGAGTTCCCTGAACTCAACCAAAAACCTTCCTTGGGGAGGATCTGAGCGTTCCTGAAATGAACATAGAGAATAATAAAAATGAATCAGAGATCTGTGGGATAATAATCTAAATTATTATCACGTCTTCTCTTGCCAGACCAGAATATTCTGTATTTCAGCCTTGTACGTCTGATAAAATATCTTTAATAAAACATTCCACATGATCTGTGGTTAACAGGCAACCACTGGCTCTGCTGTTCATACCTCTCTTTTTTGCTTCTGTGTATGGGATTATTTTAAAAACTTGGAAGACTCCAGGTAGGTTTTAGCCAAATGACCTGCGGTATCATATTCATGAGCTTGTTCTTTTGATCAGATAATAGGGCAGTTTTTCAAATCAGTGCATTACTCATACATTGTCTTACTATCATTAGAATGTGTAAAACTTTCCCCAAAAATGGGGCCTCAGGCACATGCTTTGTGCACAGATTCCACTGAATGCAATTACATTATTCAAGTCCTCCAAGCTGGGGGTGTGCTGAAGCACCTTGATGGTTTGGAAACATTTTGAAGCTGAAAAATAAAAGAAACACACAAGCAACACACTGAGAGAATTTTCTCTCTGGTTTGTCTTGTGAGGAGTTTGAAGGGAGCTCACAAGCTAATTTTTAGCATGACTTGGTTAATCCATGTTAGCAGGGTTCATCTGACCACACAGGACATCACAGTAGAAGAACACAGGTCAGGACCAGGAGAGTCTTTCTGGCCCATCTGCCCCAGACACAGGAACAAGATCTAAACCCCTCCTGACATTTGTCTCATCCAGTCTCAAAAAACAGTGATAATGACTGCAATTCCAGAGTCTGTCCAGCCATCCATTCCAGCATTTCCCCATTTCTGATGCCCAGAATTACTGCCTAATGTTTGACCAGATCTCCCTTGCTACAGTGTGAGGTCATGGCTCGAGCAGTCCCCCAGGACAGGTTTATTCCTTTTCTCCTCTCAGCAGCCTTTCACATACTTTGAAAATTTAATCATGTTTCACCTCAGCCTTCTCTTTTTTAAACAAACAATTCCCTTCACCTTTCTCTACAAGTCCTCAAGTGCTTTCCCTCTATCTTTTCCTCTGCTCTTCCTTGGCTCTGATCCATGTCTTCTCTGGAATGAGATGCTCCAAACTGGAAACAGTGAGATCCCACCAGTCCTGTGCTTGGTGCAGTAGGTACCACTGCCTCTGTACCTGCCAAGTGCTTCAAAAACAGGCAATCTCCAAGAGGACAGACAGTATTGGCACTGCTTTTTGCCCCCTGAGACCAAACCACCATTATGGTCCCAGGAACTGCTCTGAAGCTCATGGAAAACTGCTGGTTCTCTGAGGGGGTGAGGACCAACCCAATTATTGTGATATTTCTATCCATTCTTAATCTGCTGCCATGCCTTGGGCCCAACGTGGTTCAGGGTGGAGGAAATAACCCTTTCAAGTATAACTTACAGAGTGTTTGGGGATTTTTCTGGATCAAAGGAGCTATGTAAACACAAGACAACTATTTTTAATAAATGTAAGCAAATGTTGACTCAGACAGCCTTTCTTACAATAGCATCTGATGAAAGAAGCTAGATTGAAACCTGAAAAACGCATGCTTCAATTGAAAACCTAAAAAGCTAGTAAAGTGAAAGAAAATTTTTGAGTAAATACAATAATGACTGTTTTGCATTTGTGATTTGATGTTAACCTTATGATGGCTAGGGGTTTTCTTAAGTGATATTAAGCATATGCTTCCTGTTTCTTTTCAAACAAAATTTGCCATA